CTTATCGGATCGATCCTTGCGGACGGCCTGAAGCTCAGCCTTTAACTTTATGAGCTGCTCGTCCTTTTCTTTGGCCACCTCCGCAACTTTGGCCAACTCAACCGACGTGAGGTCATGCGCTAACAGTAAGTTTTCTTTCTCAGTTTTGAGGGTGTTCACCTCAGTCAGTGTCGCCTGGAGTTCAGCATCCTTCTTTGACAAAGCTGCCTCATAGCGAGACTTTTCATCTTCCAAAGATGCTATGGCACCTTCCTTCAGACTTAGCTCATGTTGTTTTTCATCGAGTTCATGAGCTCTGCTCCGGTAACTGTCTTCAGCTGCTATAAAACTGACAAGAGCCCGGCCCAAACAACCCCGGGCGTAACTGAACTTCTGGTCATCTGGCAGCGATGCGATCCCCGCATGAGTCTTTGGGTCCCACGACATCAGTGGAACCCTTGCCGCTTTAACTGCTTCATCGGGGAACCGCTGGTTGTTCGTGATTTTTGGCTCGACAACCGTTTGGAACATCGGAAACCATGGGTCAAACACGCCTTCTGGCAGCGTCAACTCCGCCGCCTTCTTCTCATTTATCTTGAGGAAGGAGTCCCTCAAAACGATTTCGGGTTCTTCTTCCTTGTCCTTGCCAGCACCAGTGTCTTGTCTCTTCTTCATCCTCTCCGCCACATGAGATACACTGTATCTTTTGCGACGATGAACCACTGGCTCGTCGGGCACCTCCTGCGCTTCTTGAGAGATTTCCGCCTCAACCACGGACTCACCGACTGGCATCATTATTTGCCGCAGTGGTTCCACTTCAAGTGGCGGGACGTCGGCAGCTGTTGGCTCGCTCACGATCGCCGGCGTCGGTTCTACTCTAGTTGATGACGGTTCACCAACAGTAATCTGAGATCGGTTGGGATTTTTATTCCATGCTTTGAGAAGATTCATACATCCGGCCATCTCAGTTGATCGGAGATTCTTGTTTTTTCCAACCTTGTTTTTTAAGTCCCAGTTCGGATTACGTCTCCGATGCTCTTCAGCTTCTGCGGGATCTCCGAAACCGAAGTATCCCAATAACGGGTAATAGACTGTTACAGTAAGTTTAAAGTTAGAACGATGTCGTTAACATGAGTAATGATATGAGATAAATGAAGTAAGTGGAGAAGATTACCTGGTAAAAATGAAGAATCAAGTACTCCAGGAGACAATCCAGCCAACTCTAAGCGAGAATCTTTCACAAGTCGTTGATATCGTCGTTTGTTGGCAGACACTTCAAACAATTTGTCTACTCGATCGTATAGTAGACCTTCAAACTTCGGCTCTTTCTTCCCGGTTGGTTTTGCTACAAGGTCACAAAAGTCCACCTGTTAGCGACAACAAAAAACAAAATATTAATAACCGAAGTGAAGAAAATGGAAACAACTTACAATAACCAGATTTAGTGGCCATTGGGACGCTTATCCCGTCGGCAAGAAGATCATTAGCGAAGTCGGGGCACTGCCAATCTCCCCCGACCCACAACCACTCCTCTTGGAACCCATGTAGAGTATCGGGGACCTCCATTATTAGCTCACCGACTTTAACCCTCGGCTGCGGTTTACCGACAATGGAAAAGGTGAGAAGTGGGTCCGACACTTGTCTATCTGGGCTCTTCCGGAATGTGAACATGCTTCTCATGTCCTTTACCGACGGCAGATCCCATTTTTTCTCGGCAAAAAGTACCAACAGCCCAATAATTCGTTTCCAGGAATTTGGAGCGATTTGGCATATCGGAAACTCCCAGTCCCGCAAGTATTCGGTGATTATGCGTGGCAAAGGGAATCGTAAGCCCGATCTTAGGCTCTCAGCAAACACACCGACGCAATTGGGTGGAGGGCATGTAATCCTCTCACCTGGATATGGGGCAAATAGGTGTACCGACGAAGGGACTCGAATTTCGCCCCGCAGCATAACGATGTCGGCATCAGTGAGAATACTCGGCTCGCCATGGGATGTTATTTCTGGGTTTGGCCATCTCCTGATAGGTCGTTTCCAAAATCTTGAGTCGTCGACAACATTTTCCTCTACAACTTTATCCCCTTCACTATCATTCAGCCGGATCTTCAACCGTTCAACAAACATCGGGTCCCATCGGTTGTACTCAGATAATAACTCTAAATCTCCAGAGTGTACCATGTTAATCATCATCACGTCCAACTCGTCGTCGCCCGAAGATGCCCAGGATACACTCATGATGTCGAAAAAGAGAAGGAAAAGTCGGCGTAAATAAATGAAATACGATGAAGAATTCTTACCACAGGAAGTCGTTCGTGAATCTGAAGTGCTTTGAGTACGGATGACAGGTGATTAATTTGCAAAGGAAGCCAAAAATACGAGTGCAAGAAGAAGATGAAAGTAAAGTAGATCTCAAAAGAAGAATTTCTATTTATACCAAACCCTAAACGTAAAAGCGACCGTTGAGAACTGATAGGAATAGGGGCGCGTGAATTGCACGTTCTAGATCTGCGAGTCGACGCGACCCTTGGGAGTCGTGCCTCTTTATAACAGCTACGTGGTCTATTTTAAGTGACCGTTATTCCTACTGATAAAACGGTGCAATTAATTTCAGTAAAGCGCACCGTTTCAACTTTCAAGTGCCATTCCTACAAGTGTGAAGACGTCGGATGCAGATAACGAAACTGACATGTCACGTTAATGCAAAAATTCAGCTACGTCCTGTTAAAGTTTCAGCATCACTGTCCGTCTTGTGTCCAGACGACCATTAATGCTGGGGGCCACCTTGTTGACATCATTTTCAGTAAGCCAAATTAGGTGACGATAATCCGCCGATTGGGATCAGTATAATGATAATTAAGGTTCATGCAAGAATATGACACATCCACCAGCTTCAAGACAACCGCACGATGAAAGATTCAACAAAAACCGACGTCTCCATTATAACCGATATCACATGTCGGTCAACACATGTCGGTCAACACATGTCGGTCAACACATGTCGGTCACGACCTGTCGGTTATAGCTGGACGAACCGATATCTATAACATGCCACCTCAGCATGGTAAGGCGGCGACAACTCAGCATAAGTCATCATTACATTTGTCCAAGTGGCAGGTTATCAAGAAAAGCAGACAAAGACCGCCTTTGACCCTTCAAAGTGTAATGATTATTATACAGATAAATATTGTACGTAAATATAAAAGGAGAAGATGAAAAATTCTCCAGACACAACAGACAAGAACAAGACCTCCCAGAAAACTTTCATTTTCCTGTTATAATTCGCAAGAACTTATCGCTCAATATCCAGCTTTACTTTAGATTTACTTCAAATTGGTTGTTGTTAATTTCTATTTGACAACAATGTTATTTATATATTATTAAACATCTCCTTGTTTACATTGCTACGGCCACAAATTAAAATTTTCATACCGTACAATTTGTATCGCGTGAAACAATTATATATAGTTGACCGTGACTGAACACTGATTTTTTCAGGAAAATACCATCATGCAATATCCTTCTTTTTTTTTTACTTGTTTTGCATTTGACATTTTATCTTTTGTCCTCTTTGTTCTTTTTTTTTTTTCTGATTGCACTTGATATGACATTTCTTAATGAAATATAACAATTATTTTTAAATTTAAATCGGGATATATATCATAATTATTGGGTTGAAATGATTTGTAAAGATTGATTTGTATCTATCAAGATAGGTGTTTGAAGCATGTGCTATTTTTATGTTTAACAATTGTTAGGACAAAAAAATCTGTTAAGATATGATAGTTTTGCGTAATAAATCATTCGAAATGTTAATATATGAAAGATCTAATATGATTTGTTTTGAAAGAAACAACTCTGATAATCGATTAGTATAAAAAAAAATCCGTTAAGATATCAAGGATGATCATCTCTCTTTTTTTTTTTTTTTGCATTTGAGACCTCTTAGTAAAATATAGAAATTTTTTTAAAATCTAAATAAGTAGTATTTCTTCATAACTATTGTGCTGAGATGATTCGTAATAACTGATTTATATGTATCGAGATTATAGCATGTCCTATTTTTACGTTTAACAACTGTTAGTATAAAAAAATTGTTAAGATACAATAATATTGGTAAAAATCATTCAGTAGTTTAAATAAATAAAAGATATGATATCAGTCGGTAGTTTATATAAATAAAAGATATGATATGCTTTGTTTTGACTGAAACAACATTTGTAACTGATATAAAAATATATTTTTAAGTTATCAAAGATGTCCATGACAGTTTAATTTATTTATTTATTCAATTTGATATTGTATCTCTTAACAAAATATTGTATATTTTTTTACAAATATTGGGTCGAGATAACTTTCAAAAATTCATTTGTATATAGGGATTAATGTTCAAAGAATTTGCTTTTTTACATAAATTGTTGATATATAAGGAGAACGATGACTTGTAAACAAAAAAGTCACACTGGCCAAAAAAAAAAAAAAAAAAAAAAAAAAAAAAAAAAAAAATCCACACTTACGTCACAAAAACGCTATGAGAAAAACAATATAAATATCACACTTTATATTAGTATGTATGTACAAAAAAAGTGTGTTTGAAATTGAATACGTTTTGTTTACCCAATTTACTGTTTATTATCTCTTTTTTGGTGAAAAGAATATTCTTATATAATATCAACAATGAACAAATAAGTTTAATAAATAATATGTGTTGTATGAATTTTAAAAAGTCTACACATGGTACGCGAATCAATATCACTGACCAATTATTGAGATATAATAGGAATAGGAATTAATTTTTGAAATTGTTGAAAAAAAGAAGAAAAAAATATTTGAAATCGCTGAAAAAAAGAGAATATTAAATGGTGTGTAAATTTTCTATTTACCATGAAAAAAAAAGCTGAAAGAAATTAATTTTAATTTTTACGACTATATTTAGTAAATAGGTACCTTTATTATATAGTACTAGTAAATAGATATTCCACTTAATTAAGTCTTTGTAAGACAATTTGACAGTATGTGAATCTTCACTGCACGTGAAAATGGTATATTGTATTTTGAAAAATGTGGTATATTGAGTCGTTAGTGTGATTTTGAATTTATAGTAAAATAATATGTAAAGTTAAAATTCATTTGATATAAAAGTATGAGAAATGATGTAAAATGATAGCTAGTTAAAATTATTTAAGTAGATGAATAGTAAAATTGATGCGATATGTAAGAATGATTAGTTGTTATTATTTAATTATATTGATAATATTGATGAAAGTGTGGTTAGATTACAGTTGAGTTAAATTTTTAATATGAATTGAGTATGAAAAAAATTATAAACAAACACCCCATTAGCATATCTGTATATACCTGGATTGTAATTTCAATGTCGCGTTCGTGATCCTGTTAAGACTTCTACACTAATCATCATCGATAGACCGACACAAATCTTATATATTACTTGGGGTATAAAAATAAGTTGAGTCGTGACAAACCAAACTCATTAACTAATTAATGGGTCGTCGTTAAGCAACAACTCGTATATATATCAATAATAAACAAGTTGAACTTTCTATATAGAACAATCTATCTTAACGAGCCCAACTATAGAAAACTACGCAAGAAAATTCTATTTTCAAACTAATTAAATAATACTAAATGAGCTCGAGCCAGTTCGTACAATCGACTCATTTCTTTTACCACCCTCTTTCTCCTCTTCCATAGTATCACACAACACCCTCCCTTTAGTCTCCGGCATCCAAACCACAAACAACCCGCATGTCAAAATCGTCACTCCAAACACGCCGTACGACATGAACCCCTTCCCCACATTAGCAGCCGCCGCCACCACTACCGGCCCTAGAAATCCACCGAGCAAAATCGCCTCCCTCACCATCGACACGGCCGAGTTTCTCACGCATGTCGGGAAAAGCTCAAGCACGTACACTAAGAGCACGTCGAAGGCCATATTCGCCCCAAAAAACGAAAGCAACTCCAGTCCCATCTTCAACCACCCATTAGACCCTACCAAAACCACCCCGACCATGTTGCAAACCCCGCTTAGCACGCACAACAAGACCATTAATGCCTTCCTTCTCATCCTACCGATCATGGGAAGTAGGGTTGCAGAAGAGAGGAGCCCGAATAGCGCGTTCATCCCGACACTCAAGTATAGATTGACGGGTAAACTCCCGAGGCCCAACGGCATCCCGTAGTATGCCAGCCCAACACCAAAGCCGGCCACCATGCTCATTAACAAACGATGGAAGGCCCACCTGTTCTCGATCAATGTCTTGACCGCTGAGTAAAAGCAATATGGCTCATGTGATTCTTCCGTCCACTCCAAACAATCCACGAACAAATCCTTCGTCGAACGTGCAAGGCTTTTTAGGGTTTTCGCAAACTCCAATTTCCTTCCCTTTACGAAAAGCCATCTCGGGGACTCGTGGGCCAATATGTAGACAATAATTGAGTAACAAAGGCACGGACCGCAAGTGCAAAGGTACATAAACCTCCACGACGAGCCTCGAAGCAAATAAGCTATGATCGGTAAGGATAAAAACCCTAGGGCGTAGCACAAGAAGCCGAATATCCCAACATTTCCTCTCCATTTCCGCCCAACGAGCTCGCTCCCGAGGACGAACGCGCACGTCCCGATCGGGGCGCGCCCGAGCCCGCTCGCGAACCTCAGCCCGGCATACATCCATATGTTCTCGGAAACCGCAGATAGGCACCCGAAGACGGACATGACGAAACAGGATAGGACAAGCATGTTCTTCCGGCCCAACCTCGAGTCGGCCAATGTGGTCAGGCCCAACCCGCCTATGAGACAACCCAAGTAGAATGACGAGGCGGGCAGGCCACGGAGGATCGGGCCCGCGCACTGGAGGGACCACTGGGATACGGTGGACGTGCTCACGGGGGAATCCCACGACCATGAGGTCTCGGGCAAGCGACACATGTTGGTTTCGGCGTGGCACGGTTTTGTGCAGCTCCATTTGGGGAAGGCGTCGGTGAAGATAGTGATGAAGTTTTGTTGTGCGTCGAAAAACCACGCGAACGAGACAAGGGCACAATGGAAAATTTGGGTCCGGTTGATATCGCCAATGTAGTGCTCGATTGCATCGTCGAGGGGGCGGGGATGGTTCCTGGAGGCCGGAGCCGACGGCGCCGGTGTGGTTGGTGGGTTTTGTGGTGTCATAGTGTTTGATTTAATGTGTGCAGTAGAAGTCACTTGCTAAATTTTGTAGCTGGTTGGTTGGGTTGTTATTTATAGGATAGTGTCAAAAGGCAGATCATTTAAGACTTTATAGTATATTGTTTCGTTTTTTTAAGGAAAGTTTTGTTTTCAGAGAACAGGACACATCCTGATGAATTGATTTGTCGATTGGGAGGCGTTGTTCCAATGTTTATGTTGTCAAAATTCAAAAAGCAAAGCCTTGTTTTCTTCAAAAATTGTTGTTATTCAACTATGGTTAGTTGTGATCGACAATTATAGAAGAAAAAAATAATTAATATTTTTGGTTTTTTTTTTCCTTAAAAAATGACCGATAGTGGTTATTCACTTATTTCTAGAAAACAATAATTAATATTTTTGGTTTTTTTTTTTTTCCTTACAAAATGACCAATAGTGGTTATTCACTTATTTTTTTGCATGACTCGAACTCCAAATTATTATCTAATTATGGTTGCATCAAACTATATAAACAACAACAATATTATACTGAGTATTAATAAAATTAAATATATATATATATATCTTAATCTAAAATTATAATAGAAATAAAATTCTTTTTAGCTTTCAAAAAGTTACCTCTCCTATATTATATAATTTTTTAATTCATAATATATAATGGGCTTTATGGATAAATTCATATGTTATATAATTTTATATTTCGTATTATTTGATGGATAATTTATAATTGGTAAAATAATTTTATTTTATTTGTAATTAACACTACAAAAAAATTGTTATATTCCAACGGAAAATTCTATAGTAATATACTCCAATAGAAATTTCAACGGATATTCCAATGATATAGCTTCCGTTGGAGTTGTTCCAACAGAAATTCCATCGAAAAATATTCCGTTGGAATGCATTTTTCATTGGAATTTTAGATGGAATTTAATGACCGCAACGACTATATTTCTAACGCTTTTTTTTATAGTAGGAATTTCCGTTGGAGTATGCAATTTCTGTTGGAATTTTTATTTCCATCCCAGTTGGAAAATCCACCGTTGGAATAGTAAAAATCCAACGGGAATTTCAATTGAAACCCCATTCCAACAGAATATTTTTTTGGAATTTTCGTTGGAAATCCATTGAAAAATTTAAACAGAAATAATAGTATTGAAATATCTGTTGGAATTGCGTTGGAATAATTCTATTGAAATATATTTCCGTTGGAATTTCATCATTTTCTTGTAGTGTAATATTAACAAATAATTTACTTTTATCATAAAGGTATATATATGTTTGTAGTATTTTTGTGTAGTTGGTAACCGAGTTACCCGGACTCGGGTCGTTCTCAAAGGAAGGCTCTTCGGAGCTTCGTTCACTACCTAGTCGTCAAAATCACATAACTGAAAACAAGGTCCTACACATTCTACTCGCTTGATGGGGATTGATTTCACATGAAATTAAACTAACAATCTAGAGCAAATGAAAGCAGATGATGCAAGATGAAAACTTTAGGTCAACTGGAGTCTCTATCACTCGAATAGACGCGACGAACCAAGCAACATCATAGTAGCTATGTAATCCTAGGTGATTAAATCGAGCTTTCTAACTAATGACTACGCTTAAAACCAAGTCGTGCCCTTTACACAAGATAAGCATGAACTAATCCCTAACACATCATGATGAGCAACAAAAATCAAACTTTCCTCCATTCAACAAGCAAAACCACATTCACCTTGAAACACATCATAAACAAAAACGAGCAAAATCGAAGTAATGAGGATTAAAGCTAATTACCCACTCTCCTAATGCATGCGTGAAGAACACCAGATGGAAAAGTTCGAATCTTGAAATAAAATGATGTCGTCGGAAACTTGCCGGAAAATTAGAGTAATAAAGCTCCTAACCAAAGCATAAAAAGAATAGAGAAAATTGAGAGGATTTTCCCAACTTAAAAGTTGGGAAATGAGGGTTATGTTAAAAAATACAAAGCATAATATCTTTATATAACTACACAAAAAACACACACTGAAAACACATACATGTACAAAAATACTCTCGAGATCGCCAAGGATTTCACGAGGTCGCCGGTGGTGATGTGCGCGGACGCGCATGGGCGCGGGTCTTGCACGGGTGCAGGGCTAGGACACGACACTCTCGATTTTGCAGGGATTTCCGCGCGCGGACAGCTGGCGCTGGGACACTCTCGAGCTCGCATGCAGTTTCGTGTGGTCGCGGTGTGGGCAGGGCGAGCGGGCATGCGCGGGCATGCGGGCGTTGGCAGGGGCGAGCGAAGCCTTGCACTCTCGAGCCCGCCAGCTTTTCCGCGAGGTCGCGGCGTGTGATGAGCGTGCGGCATATGGCACTCACGAGGTCGCGGCTTGCTCTACGTGGTCGCGAGTGTGGGGGCGTGTTGGGCAGCTGGGTTGCATGCATCCGCGAGGTCGCCAAGTCCTCCGCGTGGTCGCAAGCTGGGCGCACGCGTGTTCTGCTGCTGATGTGCGTCCGCGAGGCCGCGGCTCTCAGAGCGGGGTCGCGAGTGGGCAGCTTAAGGCACGTCCGGGCTCGGCTAAGGGCTCGACATACTCGGTTGGGAATGGCTCGTACGAAATGGCTCAAAACTTCTCGGATTTGACTCGAAATTCAGCTCGTCTCTTCATCTTCGGAATAAACCTGAAAATATACCAAAAGCACGGAAAAGTACGCCAAAATACAAAATAGAACGAAAGACACAAAAACACATGGAAAACGATAAAATAGACCGATCGACCATAAAACGAACCTAAAATCGACTCGATAACACGCATAAACACATAAAAATAGGCACAAAAACATAACAAACAATATATTAATATATAAGTATGTATATAAATCAAATTAAAGATCTTCTAGACATATTAATTTGACACATCATATATGCTTTGTTGGTTAGGGGATTTTCCATCACAAAATTGAATTCCACAAATTAATATATCATTTAAACGGTTTTGCTATGAAGTCAACTGTTGGCTCCATAGTGGATTCAACCTTCTATATACAACAAATAAATCTACCATATTTTCTGATTATTTAAATAACACTAATATAATTTTATTAATATCATAGATTTATTTGTCGTATATAAAAGGTTGACTCCACTATGAAGCCAACTGTTGGCTTTATAGTAAAACCGAACTTTTAAAATGGCGAAATATTTGTTTATATTTTTATTATGATATCTATATTCATTGGCAAAACTAATCAGATAAATGTTTAGAAAAACAATTTTGTGATTGATTTCTCACCAATATTTATGTCTTAAAAAAAATAGCTTTATAGATTTTCTCGCAGAATTTACTTATATCCTCCTTTATATTTATCTACCCATCTTTCATGCTCATAACTTATTATATATATTTTTTTTTTTTTAACTAGTAACTTATTATATACTTACTTATCACAATTTAAGATATTTTTATTTGTCAAAAACATTGTTATGCATGAGTTGTTTTTTAGCTATCAAATTATCTGAATTTATTAGTTTTTTTTTTTGGGGGGGGGAGGAATTTATTATTTGAATGAATTGGATATTATATAAACAGTGCTTAAAATCATTGATTAATTTATGTAGTCGTTACGTAAAGTTCTTATAATGAAATATATTTTTCAATAACTAATCATACTAGTACAACGCCCGTGTATTACACGGGTGCTTGCTAATTTTTTTATTAAAATATAAAATTAATGAGAAAAAGTAAATGAAAATTTTAATACCTTTTATAAAAATATATATATTATTGTATATTTAGTATGACATTTTTTTTGTGCGACTTACCTGTGTTATATTATGGTAATATTTTTTTAACTTACAATATATAACTACATTATACATAAATATATCAAATGAGAAATAATTTTATTTTTCTAATGAATTTTAATAAATATTTTTACTTTTTTTATTATAAAGATAAATATGGTTTATTTATTTCATATATATACAATATGGATGTCAAATCGAAAATCATCAAAAGATAATTAATTTGATATATTATATATGTAAAACCGATAAGAAATACAAAAGTTATCAGCTTTTAAAATACATTTACAATTCAATAGCTAATTAAAAAAAACAAATCAAAAGTCAGGGATATATTAATCACTTAGTGCCTCACTATGTAAAATTACAAAGAAATTAAAGAGTTATATTAGTAAAAGTTATATTAAAATACTTAAGTTAGCTAAATAATATTTATGGAATGTCCGAACCTAGATTATTAATTATTAATATATCAATATTATTTGTCTAAACC